AAAAAAAAAAAAAAAAGAGAGAGAGTAATCTAATAGCGTGCAGCATAGACTGGAAAGATACTAGATTTTTAAAGTAACATTTCTTTATTTATTTGTCATGATTTTCAAGCCACTGGGCCCAGGACTCAAACCACAGTTGGCCATGTTGGGAATCCAGCCTCTTAACTACCACACCACCTGTTGGCCCCAAGATATTAGATTTTTATAAGGCAAGTTAGCAGTCCCTTGTATAAGTGTATGGTAAGGGGTTTAGAATGGCGGGGGTTTAGGAGGAATATTCGCTGTTTTTTTTGGTGTGTATATACACTTTTTCTCTCTCTCAACAAAAAAGCTTGCCCTCCCAAAGTTTATATTCCAGTGGGAAGAATATGAAAAATAAAGCAGTGGGGAACCAGCAGTTAGTGTAATGGCTATGTTGCTGGATTCCCATGTAGTTGACTGCGGTTCGCGTCCTGGACCCGGTGGCTTAGAACTCACGCTGGGCACGTGTGTGTGTGCGTGCCCAAGATCCCAAGAGGAGAATGGAGGAGAAGGGATTGCGGCATGACCATCCCCCCTGGGGGGTGATTTCTCGCTTTCTGTCTCTATGTCTCTCTCTGTCTGTGGCGAGCGCACGTGCCCTATAGCAAAAAAATCCTCTCAAAAAAAAAATAAAATAAAATAAAAAATAAAGCAGTGAAGTGAGTTAACTATAGACTACTTCCCGATGACGAGTGTTACAGAGAAAAACAGCTCCAAGTAGAGAGTAAGAGTTGGAGTGGGAGGTCCATGAGGGAAGGCTCAGTCTTGAGTGAAGACCTGAAGCAATAGAACCTTGTTGATCTAAGAGGAAAGGCCATTCAGGAAGGAGGGAGAAGCAGGTGGGTTTGGGAGAGTCTTTTCTTTAGGATTATGTAGTTTTATTATTATTATTATTATTATTATTTTAATTTGCTATAGGGCACATGCATTTACCAGAGAGAGTGAGAGACAAAGTAACAAAGCAGGCCACCAGGTCCAGGACTTGAACCATGGTCAGTCATGTGAGTGTCCAGAGCCTGAATGAAGTACCACACCATCTGCTGGCCCCTTGGGAGAGTTTTAAAGAGTAGGAGGGCTTTACTGTAGCTGTACTGAGTGAGCAAGAGAGAGAACCATCAGTGAGCGGAAGTGGGCAGCCAGATTCGGTAGAGCGTGATGCAAAGACTCACTTGGGCTCGAAGTCACAAAAATGAGAAATCACACACATAGACACACGTGACAACCCTAGGTTCTGAACCTGGCTAACCAAGGACATGTTGAATTTGAAATGAGCCATCGATGGGAGAATTGGTGGAGAGCTCTTTGGAAATCTGGGAAGGTGGGGAAGGGGAGGTTGAGGGATTGGGGACCCTCAAATGAAGGACATACTTGGTTTCAGGGAAGTGGGGATAGGCAGGCTAGTCAGCGAGAGTGGCTGAGACTTGACTTCTGGGGACATCAATGTAGAGAGACCGTTTGAATTTTAGCATAGATTATTTACGCTACAAATGGTATTTATGTAGACAGTTACTCAAGTCTTTCTAGAATTAAAACAAGCAGAAACCCATTTCCCTGGCTTTTTCCGGACTGACCTCTCCCTAAGTCCTCACACTTGAGAACTCCAGAGCCTGAAAGCAACTTTGCTTTTGTCAGATGTGGTAGCCCTAGCATGGCACTGAGTGGGTCTGTGTTTATGTTTTTGTTCCTGTTATTTTGAATAGCTTCTTGGTAAGTAAGAGGAGATTCTTAGCTGTGACAGGAAGGTTCTTTTCAACAATTTTTTTTTTTTTTTAACTTTTCAGAATATGAATAGCTGCCCATTAGCAGGTCCAGAGTGTGAGCACCCCAAAATCAAACCTTCCTCCTCTGCCAATGCCATTTACTCTCTGGCGGCCAGGTAAGTTTCCTAAAGCTGTATTTGAGAAGTGGACTTGGTACTTTTTTAGTTTTTGCTATAGCATGTGTGCATTTGCCAGAGAGAGAGAGACAGAGAAAGAAGAAAAGTGAGAAATCACCTCCCCCGGAGGGATAGCCACACTGCAGTCCCTTCTCAAACTCCGTTCTCCTTTCAGGATTTTGGGCACACACCCACACATGTCTGGTATAATTTTTCAAGCCACCAAGTCCAGGATTCAAAACATGGAGTAGGCCCTGTGGGATCCAGCTGCCTTACTTACCCTCTATCCCACCTGCTGGTCCCTGGAGTTGGTACTTTTTATTTATTTGTTTGTTTGTTTGTTTTAGAGAGATTTTTGCTATAGGGCACCTATAGCTTGGTGGAGGGATAGAAAGAGAGAAATCACACCCCTAGGGGGATAGCCACGCTGCAATCCCTGCTCCTCCAGTCTCCTCAGGATTTTGGGCATACATGAACACATGCCCGGTGTGAGGGATTTTTGTTGTTGTTGTTTTTAATTCCTTATTGTTCATTTTCTTTTTAAAAAAAATTTTTAATTTATTTTAATTTGACCAGAGAGAGACACAGAGAGAGAGAAAATGAGAAAGCAAGCTACCAGGTCTGGGACTCGAACCATGGTCAGCTATGTGGGAGTGTCCAGCATCTTAACCACCACGCCACCTACTGGTCCCCTGGTGTGAGTTTTAAGCCACCCGGTCTGGGAATTGAACTGCAGTCGACGATGTGGGAGTCCAGCAACATAACCAGCATAACCATCTCGTGGTCCCTGGAGTTGGTACTTTTTAAATAGCTTATTGACATAAAAAGCTTAGATTCCACAGAAAAGTGTAAAGAAGAAAATAAAGGACTGGCCTAACTAGATGGCGAAATAGAAGAGAAGGGGTTGTGGTATGACCATACCCCACAGGGGGGGTGCTTGCGCTTGCTCATTCTCTCTCTCACGAGTACATGTGCCTTGGCAAATAATTTTTGTTTTCTTTTTTAGTTTGCTCTAGGATGTGTGCGCTTACTGGAGAGATGGAGAGAGAGACAGACAGAAATCACTCTCCAGATGGCTGGCCACACACAATCCTTTCTCCTCCATTCTCCCCTCTGGATTTTGGACATACACACACACACACACACCTGGCATGTCTTTGAAGCTGCCAGATCCAGGACTCAAACCAACAGAGTCGGCGGTGTGGATCCAGCTGCCTTAACCATTATACCACTGACTGGCCCCAACACCTCTTTTTCTGTAGTGTCCTTATATGATTATATTTATCCTTCATAAGGTTTTGTGGAGTTAAATTAAGTTTGTGCCTGAATATTTTTTAATCCCTTTGAGAACGTTCTTGACACTAGTTCTTTCTTTTGTAAGTTCATTTATTTTGTTAACAATTGCATGCGTGTGTGCACAGGAAGGAGAGAGGGAGAGAAACCCCACAGGGTCAGTGATGCCACAGCCACCTTTATCTACCCGTTTATATTGGCCTTCACACTCCTCAGAGATGGAGAAAGGGGAAGACTAAAAGTGCTCAAGTACCCCCAAATGTGGCACAGTCGGGCCACAGACACTTCTTTTACTTCTCCATCCTGTTGGGAATTTAGGTGCGTGTGCACAGGCTCCTGGCATGTTTCACACGCTGTTGGAGCTGGGATTCAAATCGTGTTCGACCACGTGAGATGGGGCTCTCTCAGCCACTTATTGCAGGCCTCCCCTGTCGGTTTTTCTTGTACAGTTATTTGCTTTTGGTCTTTGCCTCATTCCTGGGGTGGGATAGCCGAAGTTTTATTTCAAAGGCTTTGGATAAAAGCTATGTATTAGTATAAAGACCAGACCCCTGAAGTAGGAGTCAGAAGATCTGGGATCTAGTCCCAGAATTAATGCTAACCATCAAGTCACTCTATCTCTAGTTAGACTTTTTTTTTTTATAAAATGAGGAGAGAAAGTATTTAGACAGTTAGGTGATACATGAGAAAACTTTTGTCAAGCTATCTATCTGAAACCATAGGTAGATTTTTGTTTTTCTTTATCAGAGGACATCTCTCTTTACCAGGGAGAGACAGGGAGGAAGAAAGCACCACTACCGGAGGGGGGGGGGGTTGGTCCATTGCAATCCCTTCTCTTCCATTTCTCCATCCTGTTGAGATTTTGAGGCATACATGCATATGGACCCAGCATGTATTTCAAGTTGCTGAGGCTGGGACTTGAACTGCAGTGGAACCCAGCTCCCTTTAACCACTAGGTCTGCATAGGTAGATTTTAGAAGTAAAATTTGGTTTATCTTCCCAAGCATATTGTCAGCAACTTGCTATTCTTTTTTTTTAATATTTATTTATTTAATCTCATTTGTTGTTATTATTTTTTAATTTGACCGGAGAGAGAAAGGGAAAATGAGAAAGCAAGCCACCAGGTCCAGGACTTGAATCATGATTGGCTATGTAGGAATCCACCGCGTTTAACCACCATGCCATCTGCCAGCCCACAACTTGCTATTTCTTATTTCACACCTAATGAAAGAAAAACTGAGGTCCTAGCTCAAGGTTTGGAATTCTACAGTGGAACTTACTTGGGGATCAAGGCTAACTGCCGTTAGGGATCTCTCCCAGCATAACAGATCTTGGGTGTGGTTGCCACGCCTTTGGGCAGCCAAAAGTGAAATTGCTAATAACCTGTCTTGGTCAGAAGAAATAATAGTCCCTGAGGTGGCATGCATCTTGCTGTATTACATTTGTGCTGTGTCTGTTTCAGAGCCACTTTATTTCATATGTGAAAGTTCTCCAGCTAATCCTTTTTTGCTTTTTTGGTTATTCTACTTTTAGACCTCTTCCTGTGCCAAAACTGCCACCTGGGGAGCAGTGTGAGAATGAGGAGGACTCCGAGTATATGACTCCCTCCTCGAGGCCTGTAGGGCTTCAAAAACCAGAGCCGAAACGGCCTTTGGAGACAACCCAGAGCGCCCGGTAGGTTCACAGCAGCCCGTTTGCAGCCATGTACCTCATATGGAGAACTCAGTTGGCACCCTGACCGGCTTGGCTGGCTACCTGCACATGGTTTGGTCAGCCAGAAGTAAAGCAGAAAGGAAAACCTAGCCCCTGACGTTGAAGCCCTTTGTAGCTGTAAGAGCTCCACTTATGTGTTCTCAGTACCGCAGTAACCTCAGGAGCACACACACCTGTAGCTTGTCACAGGGGACCGTCTTGTGACATTTGCTAGTGATACAGGCAGAGAGAGAGTGTGTGTTACCCTGACAGAATGAGGGCCTCGGGTGGTAGTGACTAGATGAGTGGTAATAAGTTTGCAGATAACTGAGCTTTGTTTCCGAAGGCCATTATACCACTTCCCTTCCCATTCAGTGCATGTGAATGTGACCAGCCAGTCGACAGCTGTACGTACGAGGCGATGTATAACATTCAGTCCCAAGCACCGTCCATCTCCGAGAGCAGCACCTTCGGTGAGTAGCCGCTCTGCTGCTTTAAAATCGCGAGGCCACCTCAGAGGCACAGTGGTAACATGCTGTTCAGGAGAAGCCAGATCCCACGTGGTGACCACGGCTGGAATCCCCAGCCCAGTCACTCCAAGAAATGCAGCAGGCATGTACATAAGTGCCCAAGATTGGTGAGCTGGAGAGAGAGCTGGAAGCAGGGATCACCACGTGACCAGACCGTGAGAACGATGCTTCTCTCTCTCTCTCTCTTTCTCTCTCATGCACTCACCTGTGCTCTATCACGAACAACAACAAAAATTTTAAAAAGTAATTGATGATACCAGCAGATTGCGTAATAGTTACATTGCTGGATTCCCACATGGTTGACCAGGGTTCAAGTCCCAGACCTGGCTGCTTGAAACTCAGGCCTAGCATGTGTGCGTGCATTCCCAAAATCCCTAGAGAAGAAGGGAGGAGAAGGGATTGGGGTGTAGCCATTTCCCCTGGGGGGTGATTTCTCACTTTCCGTCTCTCTCTGGAAAGCACATGTGTCCTATAGCAAATATCTTTCTTTTTTTTTAAGACAAAGAAAGCCATTGATCTACCACAGGAATAAGCCTATAATACTTGGCTAATGAGATAATAACAGTTTACGTGGAAAATCGTTTTTAGGGAACCAGCAGTTAGCATAATGGCTATGTCGCTGGACTCCCACGTAGTCGACTGCGGTTCGCATCCTGGACCCGGTGGCTTAGAACTCACTCTGGGCGCGTGTGCGTGCGTGCCCAAGATCCCGAGAGGAGAATGGAGGAGAAGGGATTGCGGCATGACCATCCCCCCTGGGGGGTGATTTCTCGCTTTCTGTCTCTATGTCTCTCTCTGGCGAGCGCACGTGCCCCATAGCGAAAACCTCTCCAAAAAAAAAAAAGAAAAGAAATCGTTTTTAATAATTGTTGGTAAAATAACTTTGCTAAACAGGCTGTAAAGCCCCGCTCCTCATTTGTTTCTAGTTCACACAGCCAGTTCCTTTGCCTCGTGTCCTCCCAGAGCCGAGAGACATCTGTGTTTCATGGCCTGGACGTGCACGCTGTCAGCTCCCTCCCTCTCCCGTTGCACTGACGAAATGCTTCTGTGTGTGGGTGGTGATACTCAGTCCCCATGTGAACTGGCTTCCCAAGTGGAAAGTTCAAGCAGCCTGCACACACAGGGCGCTTTGGCTGATCTCCCAAGATGAAATGCAGACAGAAGCGTGGATTGGATACTGTAGAATGGCAGTCGGGTCTTTGACATTAGTGACTACCCACTTGAGCCTGAGAACCTTTGATGTGCTCATGAAAGAGAATTGTAGGGTTAGTGCAGGTTTTCTTTCTTTCCTCTAGCCACGGGGCCGCACTTCGTGTTTGGCCCCCAGTCAACATTCAGTGGCTGTTGAATCTGTACACATGGCCCTGTAGTGGGGTGTGGGGGATGGTGGCGTCTGTCAGAAGGAGGCGGTAACTTCACACACTTCTCTTCAGGTGAAGGGAGTCTGGCTGTAGCCCACGCCAGCACTGGGCCAGAAGAGTCAGAAAACGAGGAAGACGGGTATGACGTCCCTAAACCACCTGTGCCGGTTGTGCTGGCCCGTCGAACTCTCTCGGACATCTCTAACGCCAGCTCCTCCTTCGGCTGGTTGTCACTGGATGGCGATGCCACAGCAAGTGAGTCTCCAGGTTAACCTCGTTTGTCCTGACTTACTGCCTGGCTCTTAATGTGAACTGACGCTTCACTCCTGACGTTCAGAGGTGCCCTCCCGGCCCCAGTGGTCAGTAGGTGGAAGTAGTAGACTAAACACTGCATCGCCATGGGAGGGCGACTGGTGCTGGGTCACCTGTAATCAGGCTTCTCGGGATTCTACCAGACTTAGAACGAGGTGGTTCTTTAAGCCATGATTCTCCTTGTGCCAGGGTGGATAGAATTTCCAGCCCTCCCGACCGTGCCTTGTGACGGTGATAATTAAGCTTGATGGGTCAGACCTCATGTTCCTCTTCCCTGGACCCTGCCCCTTGGAAAGGAGGCCTGCTGGCTCTGGAGCACTGGGCTGACTGTTGGGGCTGCTGTTCTTGCACCTGTGGCCGCCTGTGGGGTGGCAGCTAGAGTTGCTGTCACTTTCGAAATTGAAGACAGCCTTCAGGACAGCTGGTGGAAAAGATATACAGCATCCAGTTGCCCAGACAGGCGGTGATCCCCACCCAGCCTTGGTTGGTAACACTTCGCTGTATCTAAGGCCAATTTCCGTCTGTCTTCCTACTTGTAGGAGCTTAGTGTCTTCTCTGTCCCTTCAGAATTTTTCTTTTATTTATTTATTTTTAATTTTATTCATTGTCATTATTTCTTTTTATTTTTTTTTGAAATTGACTAGAGAGAGAGGGAAAGTGAGAAAGCAAGCTTCCAGGTCCAGGACTCAAACTGCAGTGTGCCATGTGGGAGACCAGTCACCTTAACCACCATGCCACTTGCCGGCCTCCAGAATTTTTCTCTGAAATAATGCTGGCAAGTACGTGTGTAAAGGCGTCTTGCTAAGTGTAAAGTGTGCACGATAGCCCAGGGCCACCGTGTGCAGAACGGGTGTACAGTTATGTAGAAGGCTGCTCCGACGCTGCTAAGGGGGTGCTAGCTGAAACCCTTCAGCCGGTGAAGTCCAGCCGTGTGCCTTGAGCATGTGCACCAGTGACAGGAAGTCAGTGTCTGATGTCAGCACACCGTCATGTTCTTATCACTGCCGTCAGTGAGGATTGTGCCTGGGTTAGCCAACTTGTTCTCCCTCTTTCTCCTAGACTTCACTGAGGACTCCCAGGTTCCCGAGAGGCCCCCCAAACCGTTTCCCCGGAGAATCAACTCTGAACGAAGAGCAGGTAGCTGTCAGCAAGGTGGCGGGGCTGCTGCTGCTTCGCCTCAGCTCTCCAGTGAGATCGAGAACCTCATGAGTCAAGGGTACTCCTACCAGGACATTCAGAAGGCACTGGTCATTGCCCACAACAACATCGAAATGGCCAAGAACATCCTCCGGGAGTTTGTCTCCATCTCCTCTCCCGCCCATGTCGCCACCTAGCACATCCCCTCCTGCCACAGCCGTGGAGGACCAGTGAGCAGGGGCGCTTACTCAAGGAGCACCTAAGGGCAGAGGTTCCTTCGGAGACTTCACAACGCAGTCTCACCCTCTCCGGGATCTCACATCCGTGGTTCCAAGATTTCAAAGCAGCAGAATGAAAACGGAGCAGCTAGTATGTTTTATTATTTTACTGGTCTCGAGAGTACTATGAAGGTGTTCTTCAGTCCCCACTTGATAGTGTGGAGTTTTATTATATGGTGACCTACCTGGGGAACAGCGCAGAAAACAGTGAACAAACACCATGCTGTAAATCCTGATTGAGAAATTAAGACTTTGTTGGGTTAAGGATGTGTCTCTGTGTGTGCGTGCGCGCGTGTATGTATGAGTCTCTGTGATTGTCTATGTCCTGTGATTATAAGATTAACCTGCTGTGTGTGTTAATCCCAGGCAGGGAATTAGCACAAGAGGTTTAGGAAGGAATCTTTAAAGATTTCCATCTACTGTGGTATTACACCCAACCCCAGTGTGTGTGACACCTCAACACCCCCCTGTGGCTTAGAGTACCATGTGCATAGCTAAAGTCTTATATTTTAGAACACCCTCCCTCTGGCCTTTCCCCTGTGAATTTCTTCTTCCTCCGTGATGTTCTGTGGTGGGCAGTGGGCTTGCTGTGACCAGCCTTCCTGAGGCCAGGCAGCTTCTGAGATGTCCTCTCCTCTGTGTGATACTGTCGGTTTGTTTGACAGATAGGTGGCAATGCCATGTCACCCGGTCAGGTTTGATACTAGCCGCTAACACTGGTCACTCCAAAGCACTGTTTCTATAAGAACACTGAATTTGTTAAAGTAAGGTGTTTTCATTATCCTAATTACGTAATGACTGATTTTGAGATAGAGGCCTTTAAATACATTCCGTGTCCTCCCCAGAAAACGGTCTGTGGGAGTCCGTTGCCTTGGTGCCAGGTATGTGTTGTAATGCGGGTCGTGTGTCTCTGCTCAGTGGGAACCCCAGGGTCAAGAATATGTGTTTCCAGGATGGCTTTCTGGCCAAATAGCAGAAAGCTTTCAGGAAGCTTCATTTACACGCTATTTAGATGTGCAACATAGACAATGAGGATTTATCTGTTCAATTTCCTTCCCAGTGAATTTGTTTAGCTTATATGGACGTCTCCCTTCAAACCTGAGCCAGGTCTGATGTTTGGAAATGATTTTCATCTTTGCCCTTTAAGGAGCAGGGTACCAGCCATGGGAGCACAGCGTTCTGCTGGTGATTGGCACCTTGCCTGTACCCGTGCCACTGAGGACCCGGCCTTCTCCCAGCCTGCGGCTTCAGGAATGTGGTGTGGCCTTCCTCTTCCCCTGAGGCCCTCCACACCTGGCTGCCATGTTTGTGCAGTAATGGACGCTGCTCTGCAAGACAGGCTCCTGAACTGAGGTCAGACAGTGTGGCCAGGGTGGCGGTGGGCGTGACCACAGGTTCCTAGAGAAGGTTCAGTCTGGCGGGGGCCGCCTGCCAGCCCCTGCCGACAACACAGCTCAGTGGTCCCTCCGCTGCATCGGGCCTCAGTCCAGAGTCTTCTGCTGGCTTCTCGGGCAGCGTGTAATCTTCCTTGTTGGAGGCATCCTGCTCCTTGGTGGGTCTACTTTCCTCAGAATCTGAATCATGCTGCCATCTTTAGACGCAAACAAAAATGACCTGCCTTAGCTTTACTTTCTGTCTAGTCTTGTCAGAGTTGGAACTATTTTCTTACTCTTCTATTGGGATTCAGCTATTCCTGTATCTTTCAGTTTTATCCTGTTGCCTCAGAGCCATTTATATTCCCAGTGTGAATCGTTCAGGACCTCACGCTGATTTGCCGTGGCTACTCAGCATCTCTTTGCTGGCAGAAAACAACACAGGCCACCAGCAAGTGGGGCTGTCCTGAACGTGGGCGGAGGGTGGGGGAAATGGCCGGGAAGAGAAACTGGACTACCTTCTACTAGTGAAAGTCAGTGTAGTGTTTTCTCAGTTTTCTTTTTCTTTTCAAGTTTCTTTCCTTCAAGAGCAAGAGAGAGAGAGAAGGTGTTCCCAGTAGAATCTCAACACCATTATCCACCCCAGCCACCCCAGCCCTGGATCATGGACACAGAGTGGCGTGGTATACTCTGGATGTCTCGACGCAAACGTGGAACCTTCCCGTGTGGGTCAGCTTTGCAGAGCATCACATTTTCCTGCTGTACTATGGGCTGGCCCCTACATTTGTTTGCATTTCGTTTAGGTATTGATGGCCTAGACAACAGACCTAGAAAAATTGACAGCAGTTTGCAGGTCTAGTCATCTTGTTTTTAGATTTTCTTTCTTTCTTGACAGACACTGTCCACAGTCTGAAGCTCTATTAAGAAAACAAGGTATCAAGACCAGCAGATGGTGTAACGGTTATGTTGCTGGACTTTCACATAGCTGACCTCAGGGTCAAGTTCCAGATCCAGCAAAGTAAAACTCATGCGGAGCACGTGTGCATGTGCCCAAGATCCTGAGAGGTGAATGGAGGAGAAAGGATTGTGGCGTGGCCATCCACCCCTCGGGGGTGATTTCTTGCTTTCTGTCTCTCTGTCTCTTCAGTGAACACACACACCCTATAGCAAAAAAACATCTCTCTCATAAAAAGAAAAAGAAAAAAGGTATCAGCCACATGTCTTTTGCCTGTTCAGTGTGTCCAAACCTTTTCTGGAAATTCTTTTCTATACAATATTATTTTCCTAATTGAGTTCCCACGTGGCTCCTGGAGTCAGCCCTGAAACCGAGGTTCCTGATCCCAGTGTTGAACAGGCACCCCACCAGTCGGCCGTTCAGATGTATTGTCTGCAGGCCTTCAAGGCTGGACCATCCCATGAGTCACTCTCCTTTGGGCCCTCTGAGGACACCGCTGAGTCCGAGCCCTCAGCTGCCAGGCAAGCCCAAGAAGATTTTCACATGGTTCTCGTCCTGAGAATATTCTCCAAATCCTTTAAGATTTCTATCTTTTAATTTCTTATGTTTTCCTTTGACTGAGGCTCCAATAACCTGGTCTTCATCCTTCATTTGTATGGCAGTTTTAAATTCTTTGACTCTGCTCTGAATTTAACTAAGATCACCCTTTTAGGAGTAGGCTTTATTTTGAGTTTCACCCTTTTGGTCAAACCCAGCCCCTTTCTCCCTCCTGATTTCAGATGGTTGATAAGGTAGGAAAAAAAACACTTTGTTTTCTTTTTCTCAAATTCATCAGGTTCGTTTATTCAGCCCAATTTCCTGCTTTCTGTGTCTTCCTGGATCACGCTACACAACCTGCCTTCCTGCGGAATCGTTGCTTCACAGCCTTCAGGATCAGACTTTCCCTGAGCGCCCTCACATCCTCCTTCCACTACTTAGGGGTTCCAGAAGTGGGAAGCCGTGGGGCTCCACGATATACCTCCCTTTTATTCCAAGAGACGGGACAGCTTATCACCTCCACACTTACCTGGTCACGTTTATGGAAGCAGTGATTTCTGCTGTGGATGGCTTTTCTCTTCCTCCAGCCTCCCTCTCACTAAGCCCTCCTCTGTATCCTGTCACTCTATAAGTGGGACTCAACCTCAGGGCTCAAAGTGAAGAAAACATTTGCAGGGGCAGGGGTGCTATTCTTTATACCTACGATATTTATTTCCTCTGTAGAAAAGTAAGATGTATCTTATGGTCCAAACAGAAGACTTACACGTGATTTTCTGTAACACAGCTTGCTTGTAAGCAAAGGGCCAGCCGGACATGCCCTTCAAGGTGCCGTCCAGCACGTCTGGTTCTCATTCAGGCGATCGGCCATGGTGTTGATGCAGAGCATTCTCCTACCTCACATCATGAAAGTCAGTTCTAGATCTTTTTTCCCGAACCGTCAGTCCCCTTTTTGCCATTGCCTTTCTGACTCCGGGATGACCGCCGTCTGCTGGATAGCAGTGTTCTGGCCACTGACTGGCTGTGACAGTTCGTGTCCATTCAGCAGGTGTTTATGAGGACTCGTGTGCCAGAGGCGTGCTCCGAGTTCCTCCCCCAGCGCACGGCGGTGTGCTGGCGCCAGGGGTTCTCCTTGGACCGTTCATTCTCCTGATATCGGTAACATTTGGATTTGCCCCTAAACAGCTCTTCCCAGTTTTTATTCACAGCTCTTTTCCTGTAGAACTGTTGTTTAAAATCAGTCTGAGATGTCCCTTACCCCTGTCGTCTTCCTGTTGTGCCTGGGAGGTTTCTTGGTGTAGGCCTCACGAATGCCCGCCCATAAGTATTTCAGTGGAGTCGAGTGGGCTGGTACTTTGGCCGAGCTGGACATGTGCATTCAGTAGATGTTTAAGCAAACGTCTGCCCTCACCCCTTTCTAACCTGTGCCTTTCTTGACGGTGTCACTGAGCGGCCTGGCCTGACCCTTACTGGGAAGGTTTCCTTTTCACTCTGCTGGGACCTTTCACCATCTTCCCTCCTATCTGGAATTGTCTTCTAGCTTTTCAACCACCTCTGCAGCTAATGCCATGTCTTGGAAAGGCTGAAGGCATGGGGAGGGTTGGGCACCTGTCTTTGGGCCCTCCAAGAGCCAGGCAGCCGTGAAGATCAGACTAGGTTCTTTAAATGGCAGCCTGAGGATGGCGTCAGAGACACTGAGCCTTAGTGGCAACACATTGTCCTTCTCCTGGGCCGTAAAGCTTTAGAAATTCAGTCTGAAGTATTCTCAGTTTAAAGCTCCACTGTCAAACTTTGCTCTCAGTCTCCATTAGCAAGCTTCCTTGGGGCTCACGCATAGCCCCTTAATTCATGGAAGAAGGCGGGTAGTGGAAGGTGGTCCAGGCTGTGCTTTTGACTGTCCTCATTGGGGCTCCTTTGGATGTAAAAACTGGAAATGTTCAAGCTAAGGAAGAAGGACATCATTAGAAGAATGCAGGAGATTTAAAGAGACCCAGGACAGGAAGTGCAGCTGGTTCCTTCATGCGCTTGAGCATAACACTCTGCACTTCGTCCTCTCTACTGCTTCCCAGCCTGCGTGCCAGCAGCATGGCCCCAGATAGGCGCCCCCACCCTCAGTCCCCACCACTGGCCAGCTCTCGAGAAGGAATAAATACACGCAGTGGCAAACATGGAGCCCTGGCTCGGCGGCCTTGTGGGGGGCGGAGACGTGTGAGAGGCAGGGCAGCAGGTCTCGGAGACCCAGTGATGTCTTCATGGGACTTCTCAACCTGGTAGTGAAGCCACCATCGTCACGCTTTTCTGAGAGTGGACAGGCAGGCGTCAGACTGTCTGGGACAGCGAGGAAATGCTTGGGTTTAAATTCTTATTTGTTTATTTCCTCCTTTTCTTCCCTTTTATCAGCCTTGGCATCCAAGATTACCTCTTTCTTCGGGCCCAGTCTCTCCCGTGTCGGAGCTAATCTGTCCTGGGTGGCATGTCTTAGCCTCCGTTCAACTCAGGTCTTCAACCTTCGCTCTTAGAGACCAGGTCACAGATCCCGCTGTAGCCACTACCTGTGGACGTCTGGGCTCTCTTCAGGTTTTTGTGCTGAAAGTGTGCGCAGTCCGTGGGTTTGCAGCCTGCCTCCCCCCCAGCTCCCACCCCCCGCTGTCATGCCGGTCCCTCCCGGTGGGGGAGGCACGCTGTGCTGATGGTCTAGGCAAGCCTCCCTGGGTACCTCAGCAGCTACTTCGCTGGAGCCGTAAGTAGTTGGGACAGTTGCCAGGATCTACATCGCATGTACTTGTGTCTTTCCTGTGTGACTGCTTTCTCCTCTGAGTCTTACAGTAAAGCTTTTACGTTTTCGTTAAGTATTGCTGCCTTTTTTTTTTTTTTATTAAGTTTGCTATAGGTAGGGGTGCATGAACTCGCCAGAGAGAGGACAGTAAGGACTCACCCCCTGGGGGATGGCCACGCCGCAACCCCTTCTCCTCCATTCTCCTCTCGGGATTTTGGGCACGCACTCACACAGGCCTGGCGTGTTTTTCAAGCCACTGGGTACAGGATTCTAACCGCAGAGATGGCCGTGTGGGATCCAGCCGCTCTAACCTCCATGCCACTTGCTGGCCCTGTGCTTCTACTTCCAATCTACTCACGTATCCCCTCTTGGAGCCCGCCCTGAGTTACAAGGCGTCTCACGCTGCCTTACTTAGAACTTTTTCTAAACCACTAGAATCATCTGATACAGAAGTAACCTAATCATCCAAAGATACCCACTGAGGCACTTGAGGCAGGGTGGCCACCAGACTGCCTCCCATGTCTTAGTGTAGGTTCTGAAATGAGGAGCGGAGGGGTCACGGCGTCATGCGCTTGCACCATGACCCAGGAAGTCTTGGTGGGTTCCAAAGGGGAGTACCAGTGGCTTTGGTTCCACAAAGTAGCACAAAAGTTAGAGGTGGGGAAATACAGACAGGGAGAGCAAGCCCTGCCCATCAACTCCAAGTCAGATGGAGAACACCGCGTCCAGGCCAGCTGTTGGCCAGCAGGCTCACAGCTGTTAGGCGCCCTGGCCGCCCCTTCCCTAGTGTAGCCTTGAGAAAAAATGTAGCTAGCCAACGCCCAGTGTTTGCCCGGAGCCAGGCCGCCCACCCCCACGTCGCCTACTGACTTGACAGCCAAGCGGATGATTGGGGTTGTGCGCCTGGTCCGTATTTCAGATCCACCCCAGAAATGGATGTGGGAGGCCTTTGATGGTGCCCATCACTGGGTTCCCTACCTCTGGGCCACCGAGGCCAGTGCACACTGTGTGCATGCCCTGGGTCTTGCACCACCTCCACCCCGGGCCTGGGACTTGGGGGACTGGACGCCTGGTGTCATTCCCTGCTGACCTCTGACCCTTTGGGGGAGGAGGGTAGCCATGCCTGTGACCATCCTGAAACTGAAGAGGCGGGGAGCTACTTGTACTGCTGTCGTCTGTTGGCTGGCTGAGAGAGCTGCAGCAGTGCCCCGAGACCAGGCACCTCCTGACCCAGCGGCACTGCTCCCCTGTCCTGGCCCGACTTCCTGCGAAGCCTGTGGTAGGGCGTGGCAGCCCAGGGTACCTCCTACATCTGTCTCTGGCTGTGGTGACTTGGGATTTTTAACCTTATATATCTTTCTCCTTTATTCAAAACAAAACAATTTTTAGCACACTGAAAAAAAAAAAAAAGCCAAATGTTTTGTGCCTGTCTAAGGCAGCACTGGATCCCGGGCTGCATTTTAGGACTTAATATGGAAATACCAGAATCTGCACTCCTCTACCTTGAGTTTCCTTCGTCCCCGAGTCTGGGGGACAGGAGGGAACGGTCTGTGGCTGGCGAGTGACATCCAGGTGTGTCAGTGGTCCCTTTGCCCACCTTAACGCTTCATTGGGAGAAAAGGCCAGGGTGGTTTGGTTGGTTCCAACCAGCAGCTTAGTTACCAGGTCAAGGGCTCTCCTGCTGAGACAGACAGAATACCCCACTGTTTCCAGGTGTGATGGGGCCTGCAAGTACCCAGCTCCCCTGGCACATCAGCAGCCCAGGCCCAGGTGGAGCTGCAGAGCGGCGGCGGAGAGGGCGCTTGCTTGGTTCTCTCTGCCCTCCTCCTGCTGATCCTACGCTGGCCTGGACCTCCTTGCCTGCCTCTGCCTTCAGACTGGCCCTCCTTTCATTTGAAGGCTTCCGACTTGCAGCATTAAGCAGCTAGTGCCCTCTGCAGGGTCTGGCTGTCCCCAGGGAAGGGCAGCGGGGAACACCTGCCAGCAGCCTGTCCTCGGTGCTGTGACCCTCACAGGTTTCAGCAACAAAGGAAAAGGAATGTTTTCTGCAGAATGCCATTTTCCTTCTCTCTCACCCTTCCTCACTCTTCCCTGCCTTTCAGTAAGAATTGGGAGATAGAAACAATCTTTTTAAAGTCCTCCTTATTCAAGATTTTGAAATTCTTGGCCTGGGTGGGGCTGGAGAGAACTTGATGCTTTCTCCAGAAAGAAAAGTCCCAATTCGTTTATCAGTGTTAAGAAGAAACAAACACCTAGATGAGAATTTCGTGGACTATTTTAAAAATGTGTCATTAATATAAAAAAAATTTATATTAGCAGTATTTAATCATTCTCACCTGTAAAGGATAAGAAAAACAGAAGGTAAATATTCTTACAGAGAATAGCAGAGCTTTAAGATTCATTTTCATTTTGAGTCCATTTTATTTGCCAATGGATTAATGTTTAGAGGTCTGTTATACTAATGTTATTTATTAATTTTTTCATTTCCATACACAGTTAACTAAAGAGCTTTTACAAGCACCCATGTCTGTAAAAAGATATTTTTAAATAAAGTGGCTTTTGCTGTAGCAGACTTGAGTCTTTGCTCATTTTGGGTGTGGGTGGGTGGTAACCTGCCATGGGCATCCTGGATGCCGGGTGCCAGGACCCACTCCTCCATCACCTGCATCTGCACTGCTGCCTCGAAGGATACTTAGTGACAGGAAAGAACAGATGGGACACTCCTGCATCAGCCTAGGTTCTACCCTGCACACTGTCCCGGGCAGGGTAGCCCTGCTGCTGAGGACAGGGACTGTCCCTGGTCCCTGCTGCCAGCTGCAAAGGGCTGCAGTTGCCTTCTGGTGCACCCTCAATTCCAGAAGCCCCAGATTCCTGTGGTTCCGTGAGGAATGAAAGGCAATGTAAGGTTTCTGGGACAATTTAAGCTTTATTTTTCATATATATATATATATATATAAAAAGGAAAATTTTGCAAATTTACACACAGCAAAACCATATACAGATATGTACACGCACACAGACACACACCACTCCAAAGCTCTTGCCAGGCCCTTTTCTCATTCTCATCTTCAGGTACCGTCCTCCCATTGGGGCCTCCCCCTGAGGTTTGGGCCCGCTAGCTCAGGTTATAGCAGTCTGGCGCTAACAGAACTGCAGCCTTACACCCCAGGAAGGACAATCTGGCTGTCGTCTTTGTCGCCCGCCCCCCACCTCTCCATCTTCCATGACCCCTTGAGAGGGCAGTGGGCCTTAACTCGAAAACGGTGCCCAGCCTCCTCACTGCTGGGATGTGTCCTTCAAGGAAAGACACCAGTTCCTGGCTTCTGCCCAAAAAAAGTGGCATGAAAGGGACCCTAAGAAGTGGGCAGGAAGATGGCAGCAGCAGCACTCAGCTGCTTCAAGGTGCCACTGGCTGCTCTCTAGGGCGGTGAGAGCCTGCAGTGGCACAGGTCAAGTGCTGGGCTCCTTGTGCACCTCCAGTCCCAGTGTGGAGGCTCCCAACCCAGCTGCCAGCAGAAGACAGGTATTGACAGCCACACAGGAAGGGGACAGAACTTGTCCCCCTCTGGGAGACTGGCACCTCTCCTTAGGGTAAGTTTCACTGGGCAGATGGAGATGGGTGCCTGGTCCCAGCAAGAAGGCTTCCAGGGCCAAGCAAGGTCCGACTCCAGACAGCCCTGGTCCCAGCCCCTTGGCCCTGTGAGGAGGGTCTGCAGGTGCACTGGAGCAGGGGCTTTTCAGTTGTCCCCTTGGAGACTGACTGGCTGGGGAGAAGAGAGCAGGGAGCCAGGACCATCCCAGGCAGCGAGGGGGCCAGTGGTGACCCAGAGGCTAATGCCTCAGATCGATGTATTTCTCTCCCTGAAATGGGGAGAGGGAAGTGAGGGGGATGAGGGGCTACTGCCGGGCTGAGGTGTGAGCATGCGGGAGGCGGGGCAGGCAGAAGCTGATGGGAAGCAGAAGCTGGTGGACACAGGTCGCAGTTCACGCCTAGTGGCAGGAAGAGGGGATAGCGATGGGAAGGGGTGTGGCCCTCGGTCTCTCCAAGGTCCCTCAGCCCTGGGCTGGCCCTGCCACCGGGCGAGTCAGGTTAAGGAGAGGGTTTTTCTCTCTCTCCAGCCAAGAAGGGGGAAAGGGGCGAGTTAGTGTTGGGGGACGGGAACCCTTCTGCCCCCAGTCCCTGCAGGCGTGCCAGGCCCTGGCCACGGGATCCGCCTCCTACCTGGTCTCCTGGAGCCCTCTTGTCACCGCTGCCGCCCTGTAGGAGGCCCATCTCTTCTGGGAGCTTATCTGACTTAACTTCTACTACAAATTCGCTCTTACGAGACGGGGGCAGCGTGCTGGCAGAGGGAGGGAGGGAGGGGGAGGCAAGAGGTTGGCAACTCTGGCGAGGGGGGCAGGAGGTGGGCACGGGCTCTTTGGTGCTGGGGCCATAGGGTGAGGGGGCGGCTCAGGGCAGGGAGCCAGAAAGTGAACGAGAAGGTGTGGTCGATGGAAGCCGGGAAGCGGGCAGGGAAGCGGGGAGCACTCTGACCCAAGGTGCCACTCCTGGCCCTAAGGGGAGAGTGGGCACTGGGCAGGCAGGGGAGTGGCCCTGAGGGGCAGCAGCCGGCAGCAGGAGGGCAGGGGTGAGAGCCAGGCACTGGGCTTACATCTCTTGCTTGCCCGAGCGCCCGCACGGCAGCTTGCCCTTCTTGTAGAAGAAGTAGAGGACGGCGCCCAGCACGGCCAACACCAGGATACAGACGATCACAGCCACGATGGCCACGCCCTGGCTCTCCGACTCAGGCAGCTTCCTCTCTGGTCCACAGGAACACCGTCACTCACTCTCTGCCCTCGGCCGCCATGTGGCCTGGACCGCCCTCCCAGCCAGGGCCGACAAGGTGGCCGCTACTCACCTTTCTGGACAGGGCTCTAGGGAGGCCCCAACCCCACCCTGTGCTCGTGCCAGGCCCAGCTTACCTGTGGAGGTGCTGTTGGCTCTGGGATGAGGACTGACAGTGGAGGTGCTGGGGCCAGTGGTCTTGGAGTCAGGTGTGAGGGTGGTTAAACGGACTGGGGGCAGAGGGGGCGGGTTAGCAGAAGCGCGAGTTACTGCCCGCCTGGGCGTGCCCCTGCCGTCCGCTGCAGGGATGTGGCCTCACCCCGCTCAAGGAAGATGACGGTGGTGTTCTTGCCCAGGGCATTGGAGGCCGTGCACTTAACGCCTGTCTCCAGCAGCTCTGGGGTCACAAGGACATTCAGGCTGCTCAGGACACTCTGTGGACCTCGGTCTTGCTCACTTGCCTACGAGAAAAGAGGCAGCTCAGGGGGCTGGGGGATCCCTGCCAAGGCCGCAGAGCAGGGCGGGAATGAGAGACACAGGGAGATGAGCCAGGCCCTCACCGTGCCATTGACGTTCCAGGAGATGGTGGGCCGAGGGTGCCCCGACGCTTCACACGACAGGTTGAACACGGCATTCTCTTCCACCTGCACCTTCCTCTCCTTCCACGCCATCCACGGGGACCCTGGGGGAGGTAGGCAGGGTGAGCAAGTCCATCCAGCCTGCCCCCCTCCTAGGGAAGTGCTCCCCGGAGAGCAAGGGGCTTTTTATCCTTAAAGAGCTTGAAACCGCCTGACCTGGGTGAGCCCAGACCCTTCCCAGAGGGACTCACCAAAAACAGCCACATTGACCAGCCGTGTGCGGTTCAGGCCAGGCACGCTGGGCACAGACGCCACACAGCGGTAGCCTCCCCCTGCTTCCCGTGTCAGGTCGTGCAGCTGGAGCATAGGCCCCCTTCCCAGCTCCTGGCCTGTCTGGGGGAGACACCGGTCAGGTGGAGAAAGCTGTGGTCTCTGGCAGCCCCACTACCCGCCGGCCCCCAACCCACCAGCCTAGGTACCTTTTCTCTCAGCCACTGGAACTCCAGGGCCTGGTTACTCTCTGCCTCGCAGGTCAGGGTGAGGCTGCTGCCCTCCTGGCTCTCGGGGGTTGCAGGACTCACCCGGACGTCGGACACGTCTGGGGACACAGCAGCAGCGTCAGCCTGTTGGAGCAGGCCAACCCCGCTGCCCAGCCCGGCCCCGGTCTGGCCCCAGCCCCTCACAGTTCACTAGCAGCTCCTGCGGGTCACTCGACAGCGATACCATGGCTTCCAAGTCCAGGCCTTGACACTCATAGATCCCGCTGTGCTCCTTCCGCGCAGGCTCCAAGACCAGGACGCCGTTGTCGTTGGTCGTCTGCTCCTCCATCTCTCTGGTGCTGGGGTTCTGGGAGAGGACAAAGCGGTGAGCCTGTGAGCGCCCCAGCCACCTCCCGCAGCTGGCCCCTCCCCGACACACCTGCTTGCTGATGCTGAAGTGGGGTGGGGGGTTGCCATCTGCCAGACACCGGATTTCCACGTGGTCGCCCTCCTTCAGTGTCCCCACGGGCTCCACTTCCAACCACACTTTTTCGGCCGGGTCTACGTAGGACAGGGCTCACTCTCAGCCCAGGAGCTGAACCTGGGCTGGCTGGGGAAAGGCAAGCAGACTTCCCATGGGCCCAGGGGGTGCACAGAGGACAGGTCAGAACTCACAGAAAACATGGACGGTGACTTCTCTAGACTCCTTCATGTGGTTCCCGCTGGGCAGCCGGTAGCTGAGCTCACAGTAGAACTGGGCGTCCTTGTCCTCCTTCACCAGCTGCGCCTTCAAGACGCTCTGCAAGGTGTACAGGCCACTGGACTCCACAATCTGGGACGACTGAATGTGCACCCCTGGCCAGGCAGGAAGGCGAGAAAGGCGCCTCAGCCTCCCTCCAGCCCCGCTCCTGGTCTCCACCAGGAGGAAGGGGGCACCCAGAGACCCCTGTCCCTGCGAGGGCCAGGTACAAAGACAAACAGGCGATCCTGCAGTCAGCGCTTGCACGGCTCAGGGCCTCCCCTGGGGAACATTTACGCATCAGCAGGTAGACAAGGGTGTGTGCGAATAATGCTGCAGGACAGGGAAAATCGGGGAGACCCTAGATGTCCACTAACGGGGCAGGGTCACTGAGCTCTGTGCACACAGGGGACACTCAGCAGTGCGCACGAGAGAGGGCAGATCCACATAGACCAGTCCGAAAGAGCACCTCGAGAAAGCGTCCCACAGTGGGTGCCGCACGGTCCCACTTTAGCGTGGGGCATCCCAACCCCACTGCTGCTGATGTCTGGGGCCAGACGAGATCTCTGCTGGGGAGGTCCCTGTGAGCATCCCTGGTCTCCTCCCACTAGGTGCAGGGGGCACCCGTTGGCTGTAATCAGCAAAAATATCTGCAGACATGGCTGAATATCTTGGGGGGGGGGGGTAAAATCACCCCTGATAAGAACCACTGACTGGAGCCAACAGGTGACATAGTGGTTAAGGAGCTGGACTCCCACATGGTTGACTGCGGTTCAAGTCCCAGATCCAGAGGCTTGAAATTCATACTGGGTGAGTGTGCATGTGTGCCCCAAATCCCAGGAGAACGGAAGAGAAGGGATTGCAGTGGCCATCCCCCCCCGAGGGGTGATTTCTCACTTTCTGTCTCTTTGCCTCTCTGGCAAGCGCATGTGCCCTAGAGCAAAAACCTCTCTCTAAAAAAACAGATCACTGAGTTAGACAATAAAAATAAAAGCCTCATGTGTATGTGAGTAAATACACAGAAAAGGCTTGAAAGAGCATCCTCCAGCGGACACCACAGCTCACTTCTGGGAGGGACCTGGGGCAGGGAGGAACTTTTCCTTCCAGGCTTTCTGGACAATTCAAACTCTTACAAAAATATCTTCCAGCATCACTTGTCATTTTTTTTCTTTTTTTTAAGTAAAAGGCTAAAAAGAGGGGCCAACAAGTGTGGTGGCTAGGGGCGCTGGACTCCCCTAGCCACCACATGGCCAGCCACGGGTCGAGCCCTGCCTGGAGGCTTGCTTTCTCACGTTCTCTCTCTCTCTCACTCTGTCCCTCTCTGGTCAAATTAAAATAAATAAATAAATACATACATACATAAAGTTAAATTAGTTTTTAAAAAATTTTAAAGCTAAAAAGAAAATGCAGGATGGTCCCTGTGATAACACAAGTATGGCTTTTATTATTTTTTTTTCATTTGCCAGAGTGCATGTGTGCTCACCAGAGAGAGACAGAGAGGACACCCCTAATGGACATGGTCATGCAGCAATCCTGACTCTTCCATTTCTCCATCCTGTTGGGATTTGAGCACACATGGACATGCATCCAGTGTGTTTTTCAATCTGCCAGGGCTGGGATTCAATTCGCATGGTCAGCCATGCAGGAGCCGGCTCCCTTAAGCACTAGGCCATGGGGCAGGCCCCGAGCATGGGGCCGAATGGGCCATTAGGAGCAGAATGGGTGACTCACGGTTCTTCTCCTCCTTCAGCTGCCGGCCGTTCTTGTACCAGATGACTTGAGGAATGGGGTACCCGTTCCTCCCCACACAGGTAGCAACCTGGGGAGGACAGAGAGTGAGTCTCTCTGCCTCTGCCCCTCCGGCTCCTGTCACCACCTGGCGCCTGGTGTTTCTTACCTCTTCGGGCTCCTCACTGTTCACCGGGATGCCCACGGCGTTGGCCTGGATGGTGGGCTCCTCCGGAGCTTCTGCAAGCGAAAGAGAATGAGCAGGGCGTGGGCCCACCGCTACCCCCCACCCACATGCAAGGGCGGGCATGGGAGCTCACTGTAGACACGGAGCTGGATGCGATGCTCCTGGGACCGAGGGCGCTTGCCCTGGCACAGGAAGACACGCTCGTCATGGGGCGTGACCTGAGTCAGGGCCAGAGTGGGTCCCTTGCCCTGGAGGCTGAGCCGGTGCTGGTACTCCCCAGGTTCGCTCTGGCCCTGGCCTTGGCGCACACGGAAGATGAGCGTTGATTTGCCCTTGTGGACCTACAGGGAGGGGACAGAGGAAGTGAGAGTCCTGGGGCTCCATGAGGGCAGCGTCCCACCCCTCGCCCAGGGTGCTGTCCCAGGAGCCTGGGCACTCACAGAGAACCAGTCCACATGGCTGAGGTTGGTGGGTGCGTGCGAGAGGCCACACTGCAGGAGGGCGGTGCTGCCCACTTCCACCTCCAGCAGGTCGGGTGCGGGCTGCTCGGCCTCTCCGGGCACACCTGCGGCCGGGGAGAGGGGCCGGGGAGAGGTGCACCCCAGCGGTGGCGTCAGCTCCAGCTGCTGCTCACGGGCTGCCCTCAGTCTGCTCCCTGCAGCTGTTCTGCCGGCCACTCGGAGGATCTGAAGAGGGCCCTGTCCCCTGCTAGTCCTCTACAGCTCCCTGCACCTCTCCAGGATCAGCCCTCTCCCAGGGCAGGGGATCCCTGACCCGTGGAGCAGGGACTGAGCCCTCAGCACTTCCCAGATGAGGCTGGCCGAGGGGCTGAGGGGCAGACCTGGGTCTGGGCCAGGAGGAAGGTTCCTTTTCTCCCGGCCCCCTCCTCTCCCAGTGAGCTCAGAGGGTGGGAATGCAAGGCATGTGCCAGGCTGGGGCACACAGGCTCCTTTGTGTCCCCACCTCCAGGGAAGACGTCACTATGCTACCCTCTGCCCCCCAAAATCCCCTCCCCGAAAGCCCCACCAGACACAGTGGCCCAGCTCTGGCCAGAAGTTCTCTCCTCATGCTCCCCAAACTGATCTCGATGAGCAGTCCACACCCACACTTGGGACCCCAGCCTAGGAGTCCAGTGATTTCGGAGGGGTCAGTCTCCCCGGGGGGGCGGGGCAAGGGCCAGGCACTGGGCAGGAGTGACGTCAGTGGTGCCAGCGTGCTGCCGGCCCTGTGAGGAGGTGATGTCACTGGTACCATCTGGCTGGACTCTGGGATGCCTGGGTTGATGCCTTGGGCTGGCGCCGGGACAAGGAGGACAAGTGGGGTGTGCTCCGACTGAGCAGAAGCTGAGGTCCCTGACTCTGTTTCCCAGAGCGAAAGGGCAGAGCAGGGCGGGGCTGGCGCTGCAGCTGCGGGGACGATTTAGCCCTTTCCCTAGAAATAAGGCCTGGGAGGCAGCAGCCAGGGGCACCCCAGGGACGCGGCTGGCACCGGGCAGAAGGCCAGCAAACTGGGTAATGCCCAGTCCTCCCCCTCCCCAGCCGGACAGCGGCTGGAACCGAGAACAGGAGCCAAGAGAAACACGCGACCCGCCGCGGGGCACGCAAGGGCGGCGTGGACAGGAGCGCCCGGCTCCTAGGCGGCTCCAGAGAAAAGCTCCGAGCTGCCAGGCGCTCTTCCACTTGAATGTGCCCCAGATAAGTCTGCAGACGCCTCCACTCTGGGCACCCTCCTTCTCTCGTCTCTGCCACCTGTGATCCCTTCACCCGCGGGGGCGCTGAGGCGACCCACACCGCAACCCCGGGCCCCTGCCAACGCCCCGCTGGCGCG